AGGAAGGCTCCGAGGTGCTGCCCGCCCTCCCTGCCCTCCATCAGGGGCTGCACCTCGCCGAGCCCGCCGCTCTCCAGGATGGAGGCTGGCACACCGAACGGCAGCGAGCCTGAAACATGGGTGTGCAGGTGCTCCCGCAGCCCGGCCCGCGAGTCAAAGCGCTCCCCGCAGTAGTGACACAGGTGCACCCTGAGGCTGGCCTTGGCAAGGATGGGGTTTGCTCTGTCCGGGGAAGGAGGGCTGCAGCTCTGGGACACCACGGGCTCAGTCTCACATTTCTCCTGCTTGATGGAGACAGAAAGCTTGGGCACCTCCTCTGCTGGCCTGGCCAGCGCTGCGGGCTGGGCTGTGGGATGCGGGCCTGGCTGCTCACGGCTGCTGTCGTCCAGGCCGATGGCGAGGGAGAGCTGCAGCTGCGGGTGCTCAGCTGGGGCAGAAGGCCGGCCCCCCACGCTGCCCAGCGTCTCCTTGGCGCCTGGCCGCTCCTTTGCTGCTTTGTGTGCAGTGGAGATCTGGATTCCGTAGAGGTTTGAGGACTGCACGGCCTCTGAGGGGAAGGCCTGGTTCATCTCGACAGCGAGGTGGGAAAGGTGGTCGGCGTGCAGGAAGCGGATGCCCTCCTCCAGCCGGCTCTGGCTGACCGCCTGCTTTGGGCCCTTCCCAGTGTACATGATGTGCAGGAGGTAGCTGAAAATGTCCGGTTGGATGTCTGCAGGCTGAATCTTTATGCACTCACTGAAACAAGACAGGTGATTAAGCACATCGTTGACTCCAAATTACAGCCCTGACCCATTATCTGCCCATTCATCTGCACCGTCATTGGCTTGCAGAATGCCGGCGCTGCTGCCTGGCTGCAGGTCCATGACGGCCAGTGCTCCTTGCCAAGGCCTGAAGGAGCGTGGTATGCACAGCAGTGCTCACTCGTGTTTGTGTACGGACGGGGCTCTGAGCACCTGATGGTGCTGTAGGTGTCCTGTTTGTTGCAGGGGAGTTGGACCAGCTGGCTTTTAAAGGTTTCTTTCAACTCAAAGGATTCTATGATTCTGTGTATCTGGGTGATTGCAACGACAGCTCACAGAGCCGCGGTGAAGAACTGTGAGCACAGCTGGCCTCTGTCTGCCCCACCTATGACGGCTCCTAGCCATGTGTGCCACCCTAAGGAGGCACAGAGTGTTTGTGTGCTCAGGTAATAAATCCAGCCGCCACTGCCATGTAATCTTTACGAGCTTTGCACCTAAGTGTCAGCAAACAACACCTACTGCTACAGAAGTTCGCTTGTCGTCTCACTTCCAAGCAATGGCTGTGTGTGGATGGCCAAGGATCAGGGCCTGCAGCATTGCCCCTATGGGAAAAGCTGAGAGCCCTGGGGCTGTTCAGCCTGCAGGAGAGGAGACTGAGAGGGGATCTTATCAAGGCTTATAAATACCTAAAGGGCAGGAGTCAAGTGGATGGGGCCAGGCTTTTTTTGGTGGTGCCCAGTGACAGGACAAGGGCAATGGGCACGAACTGGAAGTTCCATTTGAACATGAGGAAAAATTTATTTACTGTGAGGGTGGCAGAGCGCTGGAACAGGCTGCCCAGGGAGGTGGTGCAGTCACCTTCTCTGCAGGTATTCAAAACCACCTGGATGCTTTCTTGTGCAACCTACAATCAGGAACTGCTTTAGCAGGGGGCTGGGGGATATCCAGAGATCCCTTCCAACCCTGGTGATTCTCTGATGATTTTCCTGGGCAGGCGCTGGAGGCCAGGAGCTCACTGCCATGGGCAGGAGGGAGAACAGAGAAAGGATTAATCCATCGCTGCAGTTCAGAGGTTAGGGCTCAGAGCCAACATCCCTATACCTGCAGAACCACCCTGGGCTCAGTCGAGTGAAACATCCAGACAGGAGATTGGAATAAGTGGATGCTCACAGTGCTGGCCCTTATCTGCTGACTTCTGAAGTGCAGCAAAGAGATAAGGCCACGGCTCCTTGACTGCCTTGAGCCCACAGATCCTGTCAGGAGGAACCCAGCTGAGCCAGAAAACTGCCTGAGCCCCACAGGATCAGCTTTCTCCTTGGCTGGGGCAATTCCTGAGGCCATGGCAGCGCTGATGCTGGGAAGGCTGTGCAGGAACTGAGATGCGGGCCAGGTTAGGAAACAATCTCAGGCCACATAACATCTCCACATGGGCTCTTTTAGATTGCAACTCCTTTAGAAAGAGGAAAAAGCAGAAAGCCGAGGAGAGCAGTAAGGCGATAGGAAGAGATCTGCGCATCCTTACCTTGTCTGATGGATAAATATCATCTTAAAATAGTTTGAGAAAGCAGCGAGCACCGCTCTGTGGGCTTTGAAGTAAACATCTCCAATGGCAACTGTGCAGTCGCACAGGAAGCCGAACTCCCGCTGCATGTTCAGCTGCTGGAGCAGGAGCAGGCTGTGGCCGGCCATGTCCATGGCGCGTCTGTGAGGAGGGCAGGAGGTTTGTCCCAGCACCAAGTCCCGTCAAGCGCACAGCACAACCCCAGAGCCTCCTCCCGCTGCGCCCAGCTTCAGTAATTTCCCCACCACCCCCTCCCTCTCTTACGCACAGCGAAGACCACAGCACCGAGAGCCGCGCAGGTGCCAACTTTAACAACGCGTCAAAGCGCCGTCGCTCAGCGCAGACCGCACCCGGCGCGGGGAAGCGCACAGAGGGCAGCCTGTGCCGCCCCACAAAGCCCTCACTGTGCTGCGCCCAGCCGCCCCGCGCCCGCCGGCCCCTTCTGCAAATACACGCCGATACGCGCTATTGTTCCCCCCCCCCCCGAATATCGCAGCAGGGGCACGAGGGCCGGGAGGAGCCGCTCGCCGCACCCCCCGCGCAGCCGCTCCGCACCGCTTACCCCCGCGGAAGCGCTGCCCCGACCCTGCGCGGCTCCGCCCGCTCCCTGCGCGGCGGATGGGGTGGGCGCAGCTCCCCCCGCGCTTCCTGCCGCCGGGCTGGGCCGAGCCGTGCCGAGCCGTGCCGTGCCGGGCAGCCCACGCGTGGAAAAACTGAGGGAGGCGGCTGCGCGGAGGTTGCGCGGTCTCGGCGCGGCGCGGCGCTGAGCCTCCGTCCACGCGGCGATGGCGCAAATACCGCGCAAAACTTCTCCCCCTCGTCGTGTGTGATGGAGGGGCCGCTGCCCCGGGTTGATTTGGGGTCTGAGGGATTGGGCTTCATATATTTATTACTGAAAATGGCAGTGGGAATCACCGCTGCTGTGCTTTCTTCGTGGGGGTTTCATGCAGCTTCACACATTTGTTGCACTTCCCTCCATGGTGTCACGTTTTTCAGATCATATCTGGTTTCCCCTTCATATTTTGCTACTCGTTGGAATGGTGATTTTTAATTGGGCCAAATTTGAAGCCTTTAGGGCAAATACTGCCCCAGTAGCAACAGATACAGGACTGCTTCCAGAGGTGCCTGTGGGACGGCGAGTGCTCTATGCAGTGCTCTCTGCTCGTCCCACTGTGCCCACAAATATTCCTTTTTCCAGCATTCCATGCCTTATTTCTCTTATTTACACACAAAGCTCACTGGGCTCGGGGCCATCTTCCCACATCTGTAGCCAGACTGCAGTTTAATGGTGCTCCAATCCCACTGCCCCTGTCAGTACTACTCACTGCTTTTCTTCCCTCAGGTTAGCAGTGGAAGCTCAAGGTTCTGTGCTCCACTCTTGTGTTATGTGACATATTTATTAACCTGTGTACCGAGTGAGGGGCTGTTTGCAGACAGCAGGTTATTTATTTAAATGATTAATTATTTACATGTTATCTAGGTTGACCCTGGCCCAAAGATGGCTTTGAGGAGCTCCAGAGAAACCCGAGCCAAAACCATGGGAGCAATGATGAGGAATGAGATTTTACTATAAAAAACAGTCAATGGGGCTCCAGGGGTACAAAGTGCCATGGCCCACACCAGGATGTCATCATAGCTATTGTGATGTCATTGCAGCTATTGTGATGTCACCATGGCTATTGTGATGTCATAACAGTTATGATGGCGTCATCATGGCTATCAGAACAGGGGTGAATGTCAATAAAGTGGATGTTAGGGAGGGTTATTTATATGCATATGTACATTTGATTGCTATATTTGTAGCTTGTGGCATTTTCAAATCTGTAATCAAGTCTTTTGCTGCCGTTGCCCACCCGGAGCTGAGCTCCTTGGACAAGATGATCTTCATGGTTTGTTCCAACTGTAATGATTTGATGATTCCTTGGGTGAACACAGAAGTGATGGCATCTCTGGAAATGGCCTCCAATTGATGGCACTCTGTGGGTTGAGGCTCCCGCAAGAGCGGCAGAGGCCCTTTGGGTGGAAAAGCCAAATGCCTGCCACAGAGCCCCGTGAATGTGTCCAGTAGCCCTGCAGGTAGCAGAAGCTCCAGGAAATGCCATTGCTCAGTTCAAGAGGACTTGGAGAGGCTCGGGGAGGGTGGGGAAAGGGCCTGGGAAAACTCTGAGAGGGAAAAAAAACCCACGAAAACAAAACCAAACCCTAAGCGTTAGTGTTCTACAGTTAGTGTTCGTAAGTGTTCTATGCTTCGTGATCAAAAGTGGTGGTGGACGCGCGATGTTCCCTGCATCAGCGTGAAGCTGCAAGGAGGAAAGGCGTCAGCGAGTGGAATTTCGACTAAAAAGAAATAGCGTATCACGCGACGCGGCAGGGGGTTCGTTATTTACGGTCCCTCGCGGCGCGCGAGGCAGCCGTCACACCGGGGGGCAGCGAAGCCGCGCACGGGCAGCCCCGGCTGCAGCCCCCACCCCCGCAGGAGGCTCCGCTCCGCGCCGGGGGTTTCCCGAGGGAGCGAGGGGGGGGACGGAGGGCCGGGCCCGAGGCGCGTAGGGAGGGGGCGCGGGCCGCCCCTGCCCCGGCGCCGCCGCCTCCGCGGCGCGATGGGAGGAGAGGGGAGCGCGGCAGGGAGCCGCCCGCCGGGCCCGGCATTGGCGCGGCGCAGCAGCGCTGGCAGCGGCGGGGCCGGGAGCCGCCGGCCGCGGAGGGGAGGGGTCCGGCTCCGTGCGGTCGCGGCGGAGCCGGCGCTGCGGCAGCAGCAGGCGCGGCGGGGCGGAAGTCCTTTGTTGCAGCGGCAGCGGCGCAGCGGCGGGAGCGGCGCGGGCAGCTCTCCCCCTCGCCTCGCCTCGCTCCGCGGTAAGTGGGGCCGTGCGGCCCTCCGCCGGAGGGGTCCGGCGCGGCGCGGCGCGGCGCGGGGGGAGCGGGCGGCAGCTCCGCCGCCGGCGGGAGGTGGGAAGTGCCGAGCGGCTCCGGCCGCGGCGTGGCCCGACCCGGCCCGGCCCGCCATAGTGGCGCTGCCAGGTAGGGGCTCCCGGCCGGCCCTCGGCCGCCGCCGTGACCTTGCGCCCGGCAGGAGGGGACGGGCCGAGGCGAGCCGAGCCAAGCCGAATCGGGCCGAGCCGAGCCGCGAGGCGCCGTGCTCCACCTGTGGGGCAGCGCGGCGCAACGCGGAGGGGCCCTGCGGAAGCGGCGCAGGGCGGCGGATGCTACGCGGGGCGGGGGGTGCGGGGGCGAGAAGGGCACGGCGGCCGTGCTTCTGCGCTTGGCGTTACGTTAAAGCGCCGTGCTCGCAGCTCTCCGGCGCTCCGTGTTCTGCTGGGATTTTTTTGTTCCTTTTTTTTTCTTTTTTTTTTTTTAAGTGAAAAGTTGAGTTGCGGCAGTTTCACGCAGAGCGGAGCCGCAGTCCGCTGGGAACGCGCCGCCCCATCCCACCGCATCCCACCTCGCCGGTAGCGGCCCGCGATGCGCTCGGGGGTCGGCAGAGCGCGAAAGGCAGCGGTGCCGAAGGGCTCCTTCCTCAGCGCGCCCCGCACGGAGAGGAGGCGACAGAGGAGAGGAAGCGGTGCTGCGGGGTTGGGGCCGCGTTCCTGTGCCGCTGTGCTGTGGGAGTTGGTGTAACTCCGATCCTCGACACGTCGGCGGTGGCGGCACGGCCCTGGGCTGAATGCCGGCTTCTGCCGCTGCGTGATTTCCCCGCGCTACGGCATCGCGCGGCACGGCGCAGACTGCAGAGCCACCCGGGGCTGGAGCAGCGCCGTGTTCCGTAGGCATTTAATTACATTAAACAAACATTCCTTTAATTAAAGGTGTTTGTTTAACATTCCTCGCTGCAGCTCTTGGAAAAACCCGCACGGCCCTCGCGAGCTGGGCTGATTTCACCAAATTAGAAACCGAAGCTCTCCCAGGGCAAAGCCAAGGCCGTATGGGTGCGGAGCAGCGAGCTGTGGCCGTGGCACACGTGGGGCCTGAGCAGCACGTCGCCTTGGTTGCACGCTGCTGGTGACTTGCTTGGTGTTTGTATGGATGGGGCTGCAGCAGGGGTTGGGGAGTGGAGCTGTGGTTTGGTGCTGCATGGGAAGCTTGGCAGGGTGCTGGAAAGCCCCTTTTCCCAGGATTGGGCTGTGTGGGGCAGGACTGTGAGCTGAGCAGATGTTTTAGCTCTGCTGGCACACGTGCTCAGTTTTGTCACGGGCACAGGAGTTGGCAGTATTTACGATGAGAGTATGCATAGCATACTCGTAGCGCATGCATAGCATGGCTACACAGCTTCCTCTGGGCTTTTAGGCGCTTTCTTACTTGAGCGCATGAGGTTAAGTGCTTTATTCACATATGTCCATTGCTAGCAGAAGCACTGAAAGTCCAGGATCCTTTGAAGGTACTTATCTGCTGCGTGGGAAAAAAGCTGCTCGAATCTGAAATGATGAAAGTTTCCTGGTAGAAACCATAGTGCCCCATTCCTGCAGAGGCTGCAGGTGGCCCTCTCTGCACCTCTCTCAGACCTTCACTGCAGAACCCGCTGCGTGTTTCTCAAGAAACTTTGCCCTGTGGTTGCCCCACAGTTGCTTTCTCTGCCCTGCTGCTGTCTGGGCACAGTGAGCACCACGCACCGAGTTCTGCTGCAGACACAGCTGACACAATTTGCATGAAGACCATTTATAGCTTCAAACTGGTCTGGTAATTCTGTTTTTGTTTGCCTTGGGGCATAGCAAAGCTCTGTAGAGTTAACCAGCAGTTGCATTTTCTGTATGAAACCCACTTCATTTGAAGAAGACCTTAGCAGTTTGGGCTTTTTTTATGTGCCACAAGTGAATTTCAAAGCCTTTGGGACCAGAAAGTGTCAACATGTAGTCTGACCCGTGTGTCACAAGGCATTTCATTTGTGTGTCTCCAATGCCTGGTTGTGCCGGCACGCAGCCTGAATCAGCCAGGGGTGCTTGTCTGGAAGGCACTTATGGTTATCTGAGGGTCTTGGGAGAGGGCGAACACCAAGATGCCTCCTGAAGCTAACTGGGCAAGTCAGAGTCCAGGTGAAGGCTCATCAGCCAGCTGTGAGGCTTAAATCTGGTGTCAGAATGTTCTTCTACCAGTCTTTCAGACGTATCATTACCGTGTTGCTTCACCACCTTTTATAGCTGTAAAGTGTCAGATAAACAGTGTCTGTGACTTTATAGAGCAGTCCCTGGTGGATAGCAAGTTACTTAAAACACTGCATACAGCTCTCTGCAATACTTGGTACTCCATAGGCATTACCTATGGAGTAGGTGAAGTTGGTTGAGATGATAACTTCTAGGGCTTCAGTTCAAACTGTTTTCCTAACTTAGCTGCTCATGCTTTCCTGTCTTCTTATTCATCTTTTGAGGTGAATGCTTACTAAGACTGTGTGATGCCTTTTAACTAGTTATCAGTGTCTGACAGTGGAAACCTGTGAAAGTGTGAAGGCTGTTTCTTATTTGTGAACTCAGGTGCTGTGTCCGTGGGGAGCTCTGTGAACTGATGTGGGAGTGAATTGCTCCTTGCCTTTCCCTGGTTCAGACCTAGCCCAGGTAGCAGCTGAAGCTTGTTTTTGTACATTGGCAACAAGGCATTTAACATCAGTTGATTCAGCTATCAGAATGTGTATGCTGATGAATATCTGCATCATGGCAGGCAGATTCACAGCTCGTGTGCCTGAAGGCAGCTAATGGAAGGACTCTGGGAGGAGGATAAATTATAGCCGGTCCTTCCTCATCCAAGTAATGGAGCCTAATTAGACTTTCCCTGGCAGTACGTGGAATTCTCCTCACTTTTAATTCATGATTGTGGATCTTGCACTTGCAATGCAAGCTGCATCTTACCCATACCTGCTGTTGCAATGAACGGTGGTCACCTGTCCTCGTTTCTTTGCCTTTTTTTGCAAAGTTTGTGTAAATTGAGTGCCTTCTTGGACTGTGCAGTACTATGGCAATCTCAGTGGCTTCTTCCTGTTAATGTCTAGATAAAACTTGTTGCCTGTCAGCAACTCTGTAGTCAGCGTACCAGCTGAACGCCCAGATTTCTCAGGCAGCATGCAGAGCTTGGATGTGTGATGTGGGATTTTTTTCATGAGCATCTTTATGCTGTCATTTAGGAATCCAGATTATCTGGTGTAGAATCTGGCCCTATGAAGGCAAAGTAATTCTTTAGGGAGGAGAGCTCTTGGGAGCCTGCATCAGCCTGAGATGTGGTGTGAGAATAGGATGGGGAATTTGCTTTCTGCTGCCCAAGCAGCCCATTTCTTTGGATAACTGGGCGTTGGTTCCTTGAGGTTTTTCCATCTCATTTTCTATTAACACCAAATTCTCCACTCATTTATAATACTTTTGTCCAGCTTGCTCTTGGTTTCTGAAGAAAAGCAGCCAGCAACTAAGCATGTAAGCAGTCTGTTTTTGCCTGCTCAGCAGTGGAAATGCTGGGTTTTGAAAACCACCTACTAATTTTAGGAGCCGAGAGGCTCCTGAATCTTGAACCTTGTGGTACTTCTTTTTTAAAGACAGAGAAGTTAGTAAAAGAGTTTCAGCAGTCTCTTAAAGGTTTAACAGGGGAAAGCTTGAAGACTTCTAAAATTTTCTGAAATGTTTGAAAACTAGAAGTCTGAAGGGAAAAAAGAAAAGTATTGAGTTATAGTAAGAGCCTTTTCTTTCTGGTCCTTGGCTTCTAAACAACACGCTTGGTTTGTGTAGTAGCGTAGCTTAGCTTGGTGATAATATCTGAGTAGTAATTGTACCTGAGTGCTGATTCAAAAGAAAAACACAGTGGCGTGTAGGCAGCTTGAATCCAAGCTTTGCCACGTAAAAATAAACACGTAGCCTCCACGTACATTCTGTGCTGCTTAGAGTTTGAGGAACAGACTGAAATTACCTGACTAAAGCATCTACACTCCTCAGTTTCGTATCAGATGCTTTTCTAGTGCTTTCTTTTTCAGACCACCTCTGCATCATTCAGTGCTGTTCACAGCATGGCCCACTGCTGTGCTCACTGCACTAATGGGTTGCTGCTGAGGACGGGGTGATGTAGGTGCCTGGTGGACCTCCTTGTGATGACTGCGTGCTTCATAAATGCAGTGTGCTAGTCAGGCAAGTGGTCACATTTCTTCTCTTTCTGAAATAGGAAGCTGAGTTAGAGAGAATCAAATACACATTTGGGTGGACAAATTCATGTGTAGAGCTTGAATTTTCCAAGAAGACCAATGCTTAATACACACAGTGAGTAGCACCCGTTTGTATGAGGTACTGCTGATGGCTTCCCTGCATGAAGATGCTGGACACGTGAAAAAGTACAAGCCAAAAAACCCAAAGGTTAACATGACTTGTCCTGGTACTGACAGTGGTGGGGTGCTGTTTTCCAAGCAGTGCTCTTTCTTGTGAGATTTTCCCCCTCTTCTCCTTGCCTTATCCACCTCACCTCCTCCAAACCCTGTGCCAAATGAGCAGAGATCTCACGTTGTGCATGAAGAGCACTGCTGCATGGATCCATCCCTTGGACAGATCCACAAGGTGAGCCCAGTAAAGAAAGGAGCCTTTGGTAAGAGGAGGGCTGGAAGGTTACAGTGTGTACATGAAAAGCTGTTGAATGACTGCTGCACTGGAATTTAGCTTAATTAATGTCTTGTGTATGCACTTAACTTTGAAACCTTTGGTTTCTTTTAAAAAGGGCATTTTTGTTCTAATGACTGTTTTCTTTCCAAAGAAGATCTCAAAAATAGTTTGCAATGTTGAACCACCCACATGGGTGACAAATGTAAATCTCTGACATTTTAGCAATTAAAAATAACAAAATAATGGTAAAGGAACATTTTCTGAGAGCTCGCTCCTGATGGGAGGACATTTTTCAACAAATCTGTGATATTTGCTAATAGCAAAGAATGGCAGAATTCAAAGTTCAGTTCCAGCTCTGAGTGGGTGCGTGCTGTGGTAGTTTTCTACCTGTTGCTCAGCAAAAGCATGTGTGTGTATCTGTGCTTATTCGTGTGTGTGTATAAAATATTCTTCCCTTCTGCCCTAGCACTTTGGTTCTTCCCAGTCCCTTGCTCAGGTGGTTTCCCTCCCCCATGTAGATCCTAACTGCACCATCTTGTCTGCCCACGGCTGTTCCTGATCCCAGGCCCTTCCTCTCAGCTCACCCTGTCCCTCCTTGCACTCCCTGAACTCTTCTCTCACCTCCCTCTTACGCTTTCTAATCTGCACTCAGTTTCACTAAGCCCACTCCTTGCTGGGAGTCAGTCAGAGCCAAGTGTTGCTCCTTTCTGGCCGCCAGGGATACTGGAATGCAGCAGCACATCCTGTTGCAGTGAGCCCTGTCTGTGAGTGGAGATGGCACGCAGCAGCCAAAAGGGTTTTCATGCTGGATGGGATGGCTTGGACGGGCCCCTGTACACAAAGGAGCTGCATGAGGGTGAATTTATTCTCAGCAAGGCTATGATCTGAGACTTTAGTAACACACAGCAGTCTGAAGTGTAAACACATCTATAATTTCTACCTTCTTCCCCTCCTTCTGTAAGCTTGGCCAAATTCAGGCAGCTTTTTGTGTGGTGACCAAGAACATCTCTAACACATGCCTCTTTCTCCCATATGAAGTCTGATTAACATTTATATCTGATTAATGTTTATACATCAAGGGAGGTGGGAGGCAAGTGGGTGAGGCCAGGCTCTTGGTGGTGCAAAGGCAGGGCAAGGAGTAATTTCCCAAAACTTGAATGTAGAAAGTTCTGTTCTAATGTGTGGGAGAGCTTTACAGTAAGGGTGACAGAGCACTGGAATAGGTTGCCCAGAGAGGTTGTGGAGTCTCCTATGGAGATATTCAAGACGTGGCTGGACACCTACCTGTGTGACCTACTGTAGGGTACCTGCTTTAGCAGCAGGGTTGGACTCATTGATCTCTTGAGCTTTCTTCCAACCCCTGTGATTCTGTGATGCGTCTCTCCAAAGATTTTGCAAGAGAAAGTTCTTTGAATTTTAAAGAAAGAACAGTAATTTAGCTGTACAAAAGCTTTTTCTTGACCTCATTTTTGAAACTGCTTTAACTGATCTTTTTTTCTGGAAAAAAAAAGCAAGTCTGAAGCATGTAATTCACAAGGAAACTTTTGCCTTTGCTGGTTGAAGTTTGTCAGTGTTTTAAATAGACCAACGCAGGCGCTTGTAGTGGGAAGTGTTGGCAGCTGTAAATATATGGTTACACATGGCAGGTTAATACAGCATACAGAGGAAGGCTGCCAGAACTTTCATTAACATAGATAACTTCAAACGCTCTCTATTTTAATACCTGCTTGTAGTACTACTGTGATGGAGGCTGTGTACACATCTGAACACCTTGCTGGCCTGACCAAGCTCACTCATGCTCGGGCTGGTTCTTTACAAAGAGCAGTAGGAGAAAGGTGGGTTATTTTTGCATATCAGGGCTCAAGTGCTGAAAGAGTTCTGTCATAAGAGGAAATAAGTTTCACTTTTTTGTGAAGGAAAACTTAGAGAAAGTGTGTTTGTGCACCTCACTGCAGTGACTGCCAGATCTTTCCCACAATTTTGGAATTCCCTTTTGCAGGTGTGTGCAGATATTTGTGACCTTGCGTTGCTGTTTTGCGTTGGAAGGCATGATAGAATACTTTCAGTATGCAGAAAATAAAAATGAAAGTGTAAGCTTGTTGCTTTGTGAGGACAAGAAGGTTAACATAAGCTGTCTGTTTTTTTCCTCTAGCAGTCCTAAGCCTTTTCTTGTCCTGATGGAAGTTCACACTGAGAAGCCAGTGGTATCTTAGACTGCATCTTCTCCCGTTTCTTGTTGATTTTCAGTCTTTGAGTGTGGAGGTTGAAATCAGTTCTTTGTAATTCTGCAGTTGCTGGTCTTAATTCTTGATGAACTATACTGAATTGCATTCAAGTATCTGATTAATTACCTGAAATACAAAGCACCTTAGCACTTGGAAGAATATGAAGTGCCATTTAGGTATTACTTGATGTTGAAAAGTTTGCTATTTTTCTAAGAAACATCTGAAGTTACCCAGAAATTAAGATAGTTGTCAAATTTCTGTAGAAAACACATGAAGCTGTTTCAGAGATTCTTCTGTTTTTGTAGTCACCCTTTTGTTAGTAAGAAAACCATTGAGTAGATGTTATGTAACAAGCTGCATTTCTGCAATGGACATCCCTGAGCAAAACTGGACAGAGAATTGTGATGTGCTTAGCTGGAGTTCTGGGGCTGTAGAAAAAAGTTGGGTGGAGAGGAACAGGTGTACAGCTGTCACCCAGGTGGTAATCATCAATCCAAATCTCAAGATCCACATTGCCACATAAGGTCTTCTGTTGACAGTGGTCCTTACGAATGGCTGTAGTGTTGGCAGTAGGGAATATTGCTGGGTGATGATGAGCATTTCCTCATCTAAAGGGCTTGAATGCATTTTTTTCCATGACAGTCATTTGTGGAATGAAGGAGAACAGTGACTAATGTTAGGTCTGCTACTTAACAGCCCAGGCAACACCTCTGATTTGTGAATTCAGTGCTTATTGTGGAATATGATTTCTCGTTTTCCAGTCACTAGGAGCTAGGTGTGAGCTGGCAGGGAGGTGAAGCATTTTTGTGTATATTTTGTTTAAATTTTGGCCAGTTGAAAGAACAGTGACAAATCAACCCGTGCATTTCATGGAGGCATAAAATGCAGTTTATACATGCTGTTTGCTAGCCTGTATTTTATGTGTACAAATCTCTTACTGTTGTTCCTATTGCTTGCAGTAACCTTTCAAAGTGTGAAGGATGCTCCTTACTGCTTTAGGTCTTTCTTTTCACTTTGGGCATTCTTTACTCTTTTTTTGTTTTGTTTGTTTTCTCAAACCGCTCTGTCCTGCTTCCTGTTTATTTAGCACACATTGTGTGTCAATAAAGGTTTTCCAAAGCGAGCAGAATAGCTTTACTTGGTTGCAATTTATCTTCTGTAAATTGAATGGACGCCTCCTGTATACAGTGTATTTTTTTCTGGATGTTTTTCTTAACATAAAGTAGCACATTTTCTTCCTCCTTCCTGTTCAGCACAAGTTAGTCCTTTCATGTGTAACACCTTCCAGCACTTTGCTTCAGGTGTTTGCAGTTCTTCACTGAGGCTTCTTCTCTCAATGCTGCCATCTTTGACGTGCTGGCCTTTAGTTCTTCATTAGTTTTTCTTTTTTGGTCCAGTCTCCAATCTAAGTGTTTTGCTTTTCTTAAATGAAAGAGTGGTTTTAAGAGGAGCTGGAGGCATGGTGTGCAACACTTCCTGCTTCTGTGCTGCCCGTGTTGCACAGCGAGCCTGGTGACCGTCTGCAGCAGGCTTGTGTGGGACACGCTGTGCCCCGTGCTTCTGAGAATGCACCTGAGTTCCACAGCTCCTGGTTTGCCAGGTGTCTTGCAGATAAGCTTGAGAAGATTCCCCGAGTGCCATAAAGAGCAAACAGCGTGTAGGTATAGCCTGTGTGGATACTTCACCAATGTCTCTTCTGAATTTCCTTTAGTGGGGAGGGAAAGACCAGTTTGAGCCTGGCCTTGTTGCCAGTAATTTGTTGCATCATAGGTCCTTTGGTCTGGCAGGTGAAAAAGGCAAGCTGAAACTCAGTGGTGGTTTCTTACAGTCAGCTCGCCTTGTAGAGCTGCTGTCCCGGGGCTGTCTTGCAGAAGTTTGCCCTGTGAAGCTTTTGAAGTTCTGCATCCAGAATTCCTATCTGAAAAATCTTGGCTGTAGGACTTTGAGATATATTTGCTAATTTATATTCGAGCAGTGTTGCTGTAACTGATGTTGTGGTTGCTATGTTTATTAGTTTACTGGTCTTGTAAGTCTAGTGGTGAGAACATGGTATTATGGATGTTTTCACTGGCATCGACAGTAGTTGCCAGCAAAGATGTCCAGACGGGAAATCGTACCACAAACAGTGTGAGAATAGGAAGAGATCTAGAGAGGAAAAAGACGGCGGTTCCTCTCTACACTTAAATGTATTCCACTTTCTGTGCTTACAGTTCTAACAGATGTCATCTGCTTTTTGCAGGGCTGTAATTGAAATACAAGATGGCAAGAACCAGCCACAGCAACTACGTCCTTCAGCAGCTAAACAACCAAAGAGAGTGGGGCTTTTTGTGTGACTGCTGCATTGCTATCGATGATATTTATTTCCAAGCACATAAAGCAGTCCTTGCTGCATGCAGCTCCTATTTTAGAATGTTTTTTATGAACCATCAACACACTACAGCCCAGCTGAATCTAAGCAACATGAAGATTAGCGCTGAATGCTTTGATCTTATTTTACAGTTCATGTATTTAGGAAAAATTATGACCGCCCCTGCCAATTTTGAGCAATTTAAAGTGGCCATGAACTATTTACAGCTCTATAACGTACCTGAGTGTCTGGAAGATATACAGGATACAGACTCATCTAGTTTAAAATGCTCTTCTTCTGCTTCCAGCACCCAGAACAGTAAAATGATATTTGGTGTGCGAATGTACGAAGACACGCTTGCTCGAAATGGCAGCGAAACAAACAGGTGGGGCATGGAGCCGCCAAGTTCGACAGTAAATACATCCCATAACAAAGAGCCCGATGAAGAAGCTTTGCAGCTCAGCAGTTTCCCCGAACAACTGTTTGATGTCTGCAAAAAAAGCACCACGTCCAAATACTCTCACACAAAAGAGCGTGTGTCTCACTCACGCCGCTTCGGAAGAAGCTTCACCTGCGACAGCTGCGGGTTCAGTTTTAGCTGTGAAAAGTTACTGGATGAGCACGTGTTATCGTGCACCAACAGGCATTCGTACCAAAGTGCCAGATACTACGGTGCCGAAAAAATAGACTTTAATGAAAAGGACTCTGCTTCTAAAATAATCTCTACGCAAACAGAAAAATACAAAGGGGATTCCAGCCAAGTTGTCGATGAGTCGTCTTCTCCCGTGTCCAACATTACAAGCAGGAAAAGCAGCACGGTGGCATCCGAAACATCAGGTGAAGAAGGAAGTCGAGCCTCTGAGAGGAAGAGGATTGTCATCAAGATGGAACCGGAGGACAGTCCTGCAGACGAGCTGAAAGATTATAATATTATCAAGGTGACAGATAAGGACTGCAATGAGTCTTCTGATAACGATGACCTAGATGACGAGCAGGAAGAGCCACTTTACAGGTACTATGTTGAGGAAGAGATGAGAGAGAAGAGAAATGCTCGGAAGACTTTAAAACCCCGTTTATCCATGGATGAGGATGAAAGGAGGTGTTTAAAGAGTCCGCGGCACCTTAACAGGAAAACTCCCTCCGTCCAGGAAGATGTGGAGAACGCTCCCTGTGAACTTTGTGGGCTAACAATCACCGAGGAGGATTTGTCCTCTCATTATTTATCCAAACACATAGAAAATATATGTGCCTGTGGCAAGTGTGGTCAAATACTGGTCAAGGGCAAGCAGTTACAGGATCATGCACAGACCTGTGGAGAACCCCAGGACCTGACCATGAATGGTATCAGGAATTCCGAGGAAAAAATGGACTTGGAAGAAAACCCCGAGGAGCAGTCGGAAATAAGGGACATGATGTTTGCAGACATGCTGGAAGACTTCAGGGACAGTCATTTCCAAATGAACAGCCTTCAAAAAAAACAGTTATATAAGCATTCTGCCTGTCCTTTCCGATGTCCTAATTGCGGGCAGCGTTTTGAAACTGAAAACCTAGTGGTTGAACATATGTCCAACTGCCTGGAGCAAGATCTGTTCAAGAATTCCATGATGGAAGAGAATGAAAGAGATCACAGACGTAAGCATTTCTGCAATCTTTGTGGGAAAGGATTTTATCAGCGTTGTCACTTGAGGGAACACTATACTGTTCATACCAAGGAAAAACAGTTTGTTTGTCAGACATGTGGGAAGCAGTTCTTAAGAGAGCGCCAGTTGCGGCTCCACAATGATATGCACAAAGGAATGGCCAGGTATGTCTGTTCCATTTGTGATCAAGGAAACTTCAGAAAACATGACCATGTACGGCATATGATATCTCACTTATCAGCTGGAGAGACTATATGCCAGGTCTGCTTTCAGATATTCCCAAATAATGAGCAACTGGAGCAGCACATGGATGTTCATCTGTATACATGTGGAGTATGTGGAGCAAAATTTAATTTGAGAAAAGATATGAGATCTCACTATAATGCCAAGCATTTGAAAAGAACATAAGCATAATCATACTGTTAAAGCATTAAGTTGGCAGCAGAGAGAACACCAAAGGCATACAGTATAGTAGACAAAAATTAAAAAAAAAAAAAAATTGAAAACAAGTCTTTTTTATTATTTTTTTTTTAAGACCCTCTTAATCATTAGGTGTCTAGGCTCATTAAGTATATAGCTTTGAAAAGCTTCATGTGTTTAATTATTACATTTTCACTGTTTCCTAATATCAGTTTCTGTTCTTAATTTTATTGTTTTACTAAGTAGATATACAAATCATTATTTTTAAACTGTAGATTAAAAGCACAATGTTACCCCTTCACTGACTGCTATTAAACAGTTCTCGGATCCACGTCCGTAAGATGAGTGCTTTAATATTTCCACGTGTTGTTTCTTCATGTGAAAATTTTAGATCACAGCAATTAATACGCAAGAGCATAATTGTTCATAATCCCAAAATTAATTTTCAAAAGGAAAAAAAAAACAATGCCAAGAAATAATCCTTTGCTGTCTGACTGCTGTAAGGGCAGAACCGGCTGTCCCGATGCTCAGCTTCTTGGCTTTGTTGAAAGTTGCATCCCAGTGGTCAGAGCACATAGGCTCAGTGAAACCTTGCAGAATTGGACTGGTGTGCGCAAAGGGAGAGGGAGTTACTGACTGTCATGGTGACTGGGGAGTTTCCAGCAGTTTAGCAGAACTGTCATGGGTGCTTCTGCCCTGCGACTGACATTGGCCTTTTGCTGGCAGTCCTTATCCATGTGGGTCTGTATAACCTGCTTGTCGTAATGCACAAGGAAGGACTTGCTGTGGTGGGCTGCTAGGAGTGCAGAATGACAGTGTGCGTTGAAGACTTCATTTCTCAGCTTAGCTGTAAATGGGTGCCTTGTTGCTTTTGTTGGGAAGTCAAAAGTGGGATGGGTGTGTAGATAGTCCCATTGCTTGGGTGGGAGGGGAGGGGGAGTGTGGCTCATGTCAACCTTAGATTTTTTTGTTTCTTGTTTTCATGATACTTTCTGAATGTTCTGTTTTTCAACAAGAATATAACAAGAAAAGACTGCAGAGTTTGTTTAATAAATGGAAAGACATTTAATGCCTTTAACGATTTCTTTCTGATTCTAGTATAGCCCTAATCTGTGTAGCTTGTCTCTTAATTTAACTCTATTTAAAAATACTGCTAAGTACCACCTGACATCAATTCAGTGGGGCAGTTTGGCCTTGGAGACAACAACTGGCTTTGACTCATAGGCACCAGCTGTCTAAATGTTAAGTGTATGGTTTTTAATGGGGGGCAGTAGGATCCTAATATGAAATGGTAGGAGGAACTATTACAAAATAAAGGCTAGTTGTACTTTCTCCCAGCAGATCTCACTTTACCAACCACGGTAGTGATGTGGCCTTCTACTGAGCCATGGAGAAGGAAGTGATTTCAACCAGCTTGTGTGTCAGTGGTGGGGCTGAGAGCAGGAGCCAGGAGCTGATCCCTTGTTTCTCAGGAATTAACAGAGTGTTGATCTTCAAAAGACTGTTTAGATAAATTAAAACAGTTCAGAATCTCCTTTATATCTATCTATATCAAACTGAGTACCAGTAGTCTTGTTTTGATTCAGTTTTAAATGTGAATCAGAATTTCTCTTGTCGGTTCAACATGCATTTCCTCTAAGACAAGGGAGTGGGGAAGGCCCCAGCCACGGGGCTGCAGGCCTGAGCTCGCTGCTGGCTCTCAGATGCTGCTTCAGTTGCAGCGTGGGCCTGCAGCATTTTGCTGGAACTGCTCAGTCTTAAGTTTTCTTGAAGATGCTGAAGTCAGCTGGGTCCCTAACAGCACTGGAATTAAAAGTACTGCTGATGTTAATGCACTCCAGCTCTTGAGTTAATTCCAAGCTTCTCTATTACTAGAATTTTGTTACATACTTCCTATCCCAAGCTGGACTGAAGCTCACTGTGTAAGAGTTCAAAGAATAACCAGGATGGCTTTTGTAGCACTCTCAGTGCTGGATTCAGTGGTAGAAGGTGATTAGAAGGATCCATAAAGTATTTGACCACCTGCAGCAGTGAAGTAGTTAAGCACTTGCTGTGGTAGAAGGACTGGGGGCTAATACACTGCACACAATTTCTCTGACTTTCAGGTTCTCACTTAAGATATCAGCTATGACTGAACTGGGAAAAGCAGCCGAGAGAAGTGAGGGAGAGCTAGAGGGTGCTGGGGAGTTGACTGAAGAGCCTGATGGTACAGGGTGAGCTGGAGGAGTGGAAAGGCTTGGTGGCAGAGGGGGGAGGGCAAAGGCTGGAAGGGTCTGGTGGAGAGACAGAATCAGAGCTGTGCAAAGGGAAGCAGAGGGGAAAACATCCTAAAGGTAGCACAGAGGGGGAGCCTGGAGGAGTGGATCAAGTCCTGTAGATGCCTGTGAGACCGGAGTGACTTAGCTTGGCTGGGAGAGCTCTCAACCCATGTGATTAGCTCACTGTGCCACAAATTAATAGTGCAGATGGTGTGCACTAGGGGAGCATTAATAGTGCACTTGCACTAGGGGAGCATGGCACAGCAATGAATAGTTAAAGATCTTGTTGAAAAGAAGGAGGTGATGTGCGAAGTAAAAGAGCATTCTGGAATACAGGGAAAGTCTAACAGTAATTTAGAAATGCTTCTGGTCAAGAGCCATTCTCTAAGGTGTCTTGGTGTGAACTTGACCCAAAAGTGATTCACCAAAAGAACAACCAAAATAACTTCCTAGTATGAGTAGACCTGTCAACTACAAAAGTTAAATTTAGGAATTGTGAATGGTGGTATTTATGTGAACTATCTAACTTTACAAACACTCTGTAATCCCTTTGTTTTTCAATTATAGGCTGTATTGTAGTATCCCTTCAAGGAAAGCTGCTTGTTCCTACTGAACTTGAATGAATTCTTTTTCCCATTCTTACAGAACAAAAGCAGTGCCTTGTTGTTCGCAGGTTTGCATATCTAGAATAAGGCTCAGAAAGTGCATGGACTGCACTGCAGGAAAGCTTAGAGTGGATCTACTTGTATTTAATCAGAGAAAAACAGAATGACTTAAATAGCCCAACAGGTGATTGGGGAGTGCAGGAGAACAAATCGAAGTTATGAAAGCAAAAACAAGCTTGCAAATAGATGCAGTAGAGAATGTTTATGGTAATGTGAAAGTATGCAGAGAAGAAGGGGTGGGTGCCAAGCTCTTGAGGACAGAACAGGGCAATGTTGGTGGGGATGTGAAGTGGTGGTGGTTCAGCCCTCCTACTGTGAGAAAAAGTGTTCTCTGCGGAAACAGAACAAAAGCACATCTGACAAAAAAACAATTGCAGTTATGATATCCTAGAAGTCTTACTGTTACTTGAAAGATAACGAAGGGGAAGCAAAAACACTTAAGTCAGAGTTCTGTTTCCTTTAAGAAATTTGTACTTCTTGGTCATGTTAACGTAGTTCCTTTCTATTCCTTTCCTGCACTGTTTGGAGATGTAGCATATAAGACCCTTGAAAAACTTAAGGATCTTTATGGTTGGACATGGATATGCATTGCATCGGACAAAGTATAGCCAGAAAGAAACAGTGACACTATTTTAAAAGTGTTTTGCTATTTTTATTTTTAGAGGATCTCTCTCTATTCTGCTTTTTTCCTCATTTTGGCAGTGGTGTCAGTGGCAGCCCTGAGAATTGTTAGTAGCTAACCTAGATATTAGCTTTCAGGATTATTGCAATTTGAAAAGAGAGACTTCACAAAGACCTGAAACGAGCTTTAAAATATAACAAAAGCTGTCAAGCTTCTTCAGTATCAAAGGAGATATCCAAGTGTTTAAGTGTGTGTGTGTATACTTGTAAATACTTATTGGCAACTTGCTAATTCAAAGAATATTTACATTTGTGTATTTGTTGCTACCAGGTCCATGAAGGAATCTTGATTTGAGTAGAATATCACAGAATTCTATGAATTTGTACTTTTACTGGGGGACTATGCTATTTAATATATTCAGTTCATGGAGAAAATAGAATTCAGCATATATTTTTTAATTGAAAGCCTGAAGATTGAAAGTCTACTGTCCTGGAGAATATATTAAAAAGATATAATTATAAAAGTGACTACTTTGCCTATACTACTGTATTTGAACACACTAGTACCAAAACATCAGGTGTATCTCAGCTATTGCTGGGGATGTAAATTTGTTCCTGATGGTGTCACCTTGGGTTCCTTTCTCCCTGCCACGTTGTTGCAGCTCTTTGTGTGTGCCTTCTCCCTTGTCAAAAGGTACAAGTGGGTTAACAATGTACAGGGTCAAACGACAAACTTTTTGTTTCCCTGGGGGGATATTTTTTGTCTGGATCGGTTCCCCATTGCAGTTCCCTCTCCATCTCAATAGAATTGGTGGCACGAGGGGGGAAATGACTGTCTGGGGAGGGGGAGAGGGGGGGAGCTCATTTGCCTACATGAGCTATGTCCGAACTCAAAGCATGGCCTGCAGCTTGATGGTCCTTGAGGTCCCTTCCCAGCCATTCTCTGATTCTGAGCTGCTTAACTAAGTCTCTGTCTCCCTCCAGCATCTTTGTGAAAGCTGTATTCCCAATTCCTCCCCTATTTCCCGATAAGGAAAAAGGGCAACCCGGCCTCTCGCATACAGATGAGACACATCTATGCTATCTGCCCTCTTTATGAGAATTGGAAACCTTCCTGCGTTCAACTCACCCCGCAAATATGCTCTGGAGCTTTCTTGGTCTCTCTTGAAATAGACGCCGCAGCGCTGTGTGCTGGGTTCGTGCGGTTGGCCCAAGGCCAGCAATGAGCTGGGCCCCTCGGCCGGGACCTGCTCCCACCTCCCTGTGCTCCCTGTGCCCTGCAGCTCCAGATGTGCTGCCCGCAGCTGGGCACAGCTCACACTGCCCTCTTGCTCTCCCTTCTCCCACTGTGCGCTCTTGTATTTTGTGGTGACGCTGAAAGCTCAGGAGCAAAGTAAAGTTGAGGGGATAGTGGCAGTCTGAGTTACAGATGCTTCCTAATCTGAAAGAGTTAAAAATCGAGTATTCTGACCTCCCTAATTCTCTATTGGTTTGAAGCTTGTCACAGACCTACAAGCTGAAGCATGACTGATGTGACTTTATAAAAGTCTCCCGAAAGCTAGAAGTTGGGGACGTGTTTTTAAAAGTGGACATTTTTGTAGTTCTCAGTAGCTATAAACCAGTTTTCTGCATTTTTGTCCAATTTGGAAAAAACTCCTGAACTATTCTTGCATTGCGTTCTTAAGAAATGTTTGTAGGTTGAGGTTTTGAAGGGCAAGATGCCAAAAAAACAGGACATCTTAATTGTACTTTCTACCACTATTTTACAGAGTTGCTTCTAGGATTCTGGAATTCATTGTGATTTTATTTTTTCATGAAGACAAATCCTAATTTGTAACAACAGGGCAGCAGAGCACATGACTCAGGAGTCAGCTTGCCATGACTATAAATGTTCAGCCTCAAGACAAACAGAGCCCATGTTCCTTTTTGTACACTAAAATGACCACAGCTAGCTTTACAGGAGAGATGCTGTCAGATCATTCTTGGGCCATTTTTGCCCTCAAATATCTTTTTTTTTTTTTTTTTTTTTTTAAATTCATGTCATTGGAAAACAATATTGTGCTTCATAGTTTTATAGACACTGTTTCTAGTTGCTTTCCCTATACATAGTTGAGTATGTATACTTGAAGTTTCTTAATGTAGGCAGAGGAACATACTGAAATTCTATGATGAGCAAACAGTCAGAGGCCAGGGTTTGACTGCTCTTTTTTCTTCCTGTTTTGTGTAGCTGGCATGCTGCCCCTCATTTCCAGAACTCGAATTTCAGAAGGGCTCAGTGTCTTTGATTCTCTTGCAAGTCAGAAGATAGCTCTGTTGTGCAGTGCCCCATGTTAATGATCTTTATATTCTAAAATATAAATATTCTAAAATATGTATCTGTCTCATGATGGATACAAGTTTAACTTCCACCATTCAGAGAAAACAAACAGATTTAATCTTTTCCTGTGCCTTCTGGCCTGCTAAAACTGTTGTAAATTTTCCTCAGCTATAACCACAGAAACAATGCTGCTTTTAGCATTTCCTGTGGGAGAAAATATTTAGCCCTTCTAGAGCTGTTCAAGAATTTTCCTCTCAACAACTAACTGCTGATGCTGGTATCGTGTTCACTCATTCCGTGATTCGTATCGGTGAGATTTTGGGGAGGTGTATATTTTGGAAATGAGACACCCAAGGATAAGTATGCCTTGTGGATCTCCTGACATCCCAAGAATCCTGACAGGGAATGAGAAGGCCTCAAAGGCCTCAAAGTCCTGCAAGTTGTGTGGACAGTAGGAACTCTGCTGGGGAATCCAGGGCTGTGCAAATCTGTGTTTTCCTAGCCTGTCTGTGAGGCAGCAGAACTATTGCCAACATGAAAAATGCTAGAATCAGTCTTTCTTCATTGCTGTCCCCTTTTCCCCCAGTCACAGGGTTGCTATTTTAAAAAGTCATCCTTTTGGATTTTCTGTTTATACAAAGTAGAAGCATTTAGAGATGAAATCTAGATCTCTCCTTTAGGAGAAGGAAAGATACAGTGGCGCTGTAGGAGGGAATACAGGATAGGATCCCTGGGAACTGATGCAGAAGTTGTCTTAGTATCCTCCCACAGCCCAGGAGGGAGCTCAGATCTCTGAGATGCATTGCTATCAGGCAGATTAAACCTCATTTTTGTACATGTATTTGTGCTGTTGTGAAGCTCAAGCAGCAGCCGCAGTCTGAGTGCCTGGCAGTATGAGGATAAGCCCCGCCTAACCTGCTTTCAGGCAGGGTTGTGTTTCACTTAAATTCAGCCGGTTTTTGCAGACATGGTCAATTTTGCTACAGAGACAGAGCTCCTGGTGAACTGTAACTTAAAAACTGAAAAAGATGTCAATTAAGACATAATAAATATCTCAGTAATCATTACTGTTCTTTCTGCTTTCTTTTGCCGTGCAAATGAATAGTTAAATAGTTCAAAGGCAGTTTTCTTTGGAGCATGTTTATTTGATTGAGTTCAGTGTGGCTTAGACTCCAAATAAAAATACTAATTTCAAACAGAGCACTACTATAAAAGTAGAAATAGTCTGTGGCCTTCTAGACCTCACAAACTATGTTGGTTTGTTACACAGAGTCAAAACAAAGATGTCCCTTAAAACACATACACATTAACTCAGTGTCTTTCATACACCACAAGCTTTTATCTCAGATCTGCTTTTCTCCCTAGCTGTTAGAGCTGTGCCAAAATCCCTGAGATCCTGGATGAATTACAGACTACTCAGCAAAAAAGCAAATATGGTACGAATGGACCATCCAGCTTAGACTATTAGAGAACAGACTTTGAGAGCTACTGCTCCTATTTACTAAACTTACAGTGCTGCATGCTTTGGATTTTACAGTAAAGCCTGACTTTCCTTCTAGATTTGAGAAAGTAGGGTGAGGAAGAATGCTGTGAATGCTTCTCTTTTCTTGTTTGTTTGTTTGTTTTTCTTCCATATCCTTAGCTGGCTGAATCTTCAGATTTCTAATATGTATGCTAAGCATCAAAGAAGCACTGCTAGTCCATGATGAGATAGGCCAAGTCCAACCGCTTAATCTGACAGTCAAACCCATGCAGATGCGAGCAGTACAGGAACTTGGTATCATGCCAAATCTGGAGAGTTACCTTTGATCTGTCTCCAGATTCCCCTTTATTTGTAAACATCTAGCTAATCACAGACTTCCTCTGACTTTTATGAAGTGGAAGAAACGGCCTCCTTTGTAACATCTATGAAGTGTTTTAGCTTTGCAGCTGTTTGTGGATGGGAGGGATGAGCTCCATCTTGCGGCTAACTTAAAACATGCACATTTCTATTGAAGATGGATCATTTCTGCAGTTCAGCTGAGTTTATTGTGTGAAGAGCATAGAAGCAGATCCTCTGTGCATTCCTAAAACTGCTTCTAATTTTAGGGTAGCCAGAATTTTTTAGAGTCTGGAAGGAGGGCACAACATTTTACCTCTAATCTAGCTCGCTGTGGGCTGCAAGCTATTACCAGTACCAACAGCACTTTGGTATTCACAGCTCTGTATGTAAACCACACGACCACAGTTGGCACTAATTTACCGTATTTTTGCAGTTTCCATCAGAAAAAAATGTGACTTAATATTCATGGGCAGCTTACCTTTCCACGGTTAGAGGTGGTACCACACAGCATAGTTGCTGCATTTGAGGGAAGCAGTGTGAAGAATCTCAGTCGTGCCACGTGAGCTGTGTATGATCTACAAGTAGCAGAAATATTTGACTGTAAAATGCAGGGTAGCGTCTAAATAAATACTGATACTAAACATTGATATTAATTAAAGATTGATATTGCCTGGGGGAAAATCCTTTGTTAATTTATAACCAAAAAGATGCGTTTTGTGACCTTAGAGCTAGTCAGGTAAGAGCTACTTTGAGGTAACAGCATCAGTCCAATATATTCCCCTCCAGGATTCAGAGAGTGTATTAGGTGACTGCACTGACAGTTCTTTGAAGCTAGCAGTTTGCCCAAAGGTGTGCCAGGAAGTTCAGCCCTGCGCTGGCCTTCAGGATGCTCCAGCACGTGTATGGGGCTGGTAAACCTGGCTTCACTTGCAGCCTGAAAGCCCTTCCTGCTCTGCAGTGCAGATGCAACCATTTGGTCCAATGCTGCTACAGTGCATGTAGAAATATCAAGTGTAAATTAGCCAGCAGTTATGTGAAAGTGGGACAGTCATATATTTGTGCAATGTGATTTCCATAGCCAGAGAAAGAAGGCAGTGTACCATGAAAAAAGTCTCAGAGGATTGTCTTTAGAAGTTGCATCCATGTGTTTCCAATGTCTTAACTGTTCCTAATGGATACAAAGCTGCTCATGTTTGTCATGTTAGTGTGGTGTCCAAAGAGACGTGAATCGCAAACGTTTATATCATTTAGCTGCATTATACCCAAAACAATAATTCCAGGGGAGGTAAATATATAATAATCACCTCTGAATTTGGCAAGTAAAATCAACAGAAACGAGTGAAGGGGCAAATACGAAGCAGTGAGAAGTATTCCAGAGTGGTGGGTGTTCCAAGCTAGGAGAAGTTCGGGCTGAAGGGAAATAATACTTACGTAATTCTTGAACATCCGCTAAGCCAAGCCGTAAACCACTGCTGGAAAGTTACACATACAGTAGCAAAAATAACCTCGGAGGCTACAGAACTGAAGGCTTTCTTCAACAAGACTTTAGCTGCTTTGAAAATGAAAGGTAAAGGAGGAAGAAACAAATGAAAAGTTTCTGAAACAAGACCAGAACATTGTTTAAGGTTGTGTTTTGCTGGGGTAGAGGTTGAAGGACAGGAACCATAGAGCTTTTAAAGAGTTCTCTTCTGTGGTGGGTGTTCTCAATGTAACTGGAGGGGATAGCATTTAGAGCGAAACCACACCACGGTGAGGTGGGAGGGACCACATCTTGCTAGCAAATATAGTACTAGAGTGTGGGCTTCTGACTTTTAATATTTTTCTTGCATTTCTTTTCTGCATGGCAGTAGTGAAATAGGGACTTCTAAGCTTCTGAACAACTGAGAGAACCAGGTTTGAAGAAGACATGAGGAAGAACTGTCGGCAAAAGATTTCATAAAAACTCAGAACCACGTGTGCCAGATCTGAATTGGCACCACCTTTGCTTTTTTGACATACTGCAGCAGTCGCAAAAGACACCAAAGCAGTCATATTAGAACACTCAGTAATTGTTTTGGACTCTTCTCTGTGTTACAAAACTTACTTCCTTGTGACTATTATTTACACCTGTCAAAAACAGATTTGAAGTCTCTTTCATGGAGCAGACAGCCAAAAGAGGCAGATGCCAGGCGTTAAGGGCTGCGCTGAAATGAGCTTGCAGGATCTGCTGTTCATATGCTGCCGTGCTGCTTTTATGAAACGAGGCTTACTAGAGTTTCTGTCAAAAACTGTTTAGACTTTTTAGCTTTAAAGGTAAAAGTATGTACTTATGAACTAAAATTCACGCTTCTTTCAGACAGTTACAATGCTAAGCTAATGAGCGTTAGAAGAGGGGAAAAATGTTTTAGTCTGGAGTACAAAGTGAAAAAAAAGCCTTTAAAACTGAGCACAAAGGGTCTCTGAGGAAGGAAAGGATGGTGAGAAAGATCCAGCTGACCTGACTCCCTTTGCTGCCATGATCATCATATGCAAGCTGAAGAGGACCTTCCCTGGAGCTCAGTGCTTATGTGTGGAGAGTAAAGAAATGGTGCTGTGGATGTGAAAAATTGTGACCAACAAGGAGATGAGTAAACATGCAATAATCTTCACAGGGCACAGTGTGCACCATGTTCTGGATCTGTACCTTGAAAAGGTGGTTTGAAGAAGAGAATCAGGCATTCATGTTCAGATTTGAGTAATTTAGCAATCCAAAATTTTCCACCTAAATTAATGGGAAGCAAACAAGCAAACAAAACAAAACGATGCAGTAAATGTTCAAAAATAGGGCCAACATGGCTTAAAAAATAGTAATTTCTTTTGCTTCTCCAGACAACTGGAGCAGATTGATTCATGTAAGCAGACTAAACATGCTGATCTATATTCTGCTGTAGTTATGCATCTTACTAATTCTACTTATGACTATAAGAGGATGTTTTATTGTTTAGTATAACTGTTATCTCAGTAAGAATCTGTCTGCATTTTTATTTATAATTGGCATTATTATCATTACTGTTGTTACGAAGTATGTAAAACATTGTCTGTATCGCAGCTTGAACAGGACATGTGTCTGTGCTTGCTTTACTCTTTTTGAGTTTATAAAGTTGCTATACAAATGGAAGAAAAGATGTTCAGGTATCTTTGAATGTTGTTCCTTAATCTGATTGCAGAGCCCCAGACCCTTCAGCCTTCAGGTATTTAAAGAGTCAGCGGTATTAACACAAAACATCTCAAAAATAAATACAGGATTTGAAGTCTACAGTACAGGAGTGGAATGCTGACTCTGCTGCCCCAGTGGCAGTGCTAGAGCAATGGGGAGCACAGAGAATGTCCAGAAAATGCAAGATACCACTGGGGACTTCTGAGGGAGAAGGCTCGTTATAGGTGGGAAATGTAATAGAAAATGTGATGTCCTTTCCACAGAGACCAGGAAGCACCCTCACAGTAGGACTACTGCAAAGCAGAGAAGGGAAATACGTTTCTAGTGTCACCTAAAGATAGGCCTTGAACTATTTAACTTCTTTTTATTTTTTAAGCAGAGGACGTCTAGAACAGGCCCTGACCGTTCTGTAACTTAGCAATTATTTGTAGTCTGTGTAGAGTATTAGTGAAGACATGCCAGGTTAATTTTCATCATCTTTAAAGCTTAATCTATGCCTCGATACAGTATCTTTAATAAAATGTTATTATGAGTCTGCTTATTATTTTTATTTAATTCCATCTTACAGCTGAATTAATAACAGTTCCAGCAACAGGGTGAAGTTCCAGTTACCATCAGCTTCATGTGCTCCTGCATCTTTCCCATTCAGCTAATAAGAATGGCAGTGTCGAAAACTGAGATGAGTAAAAATCACATAACACAAGAGAAATTCACAGCACTGCTGTATCAGTTATCTTCAAAAATCTTCACACTAAGCATCTAACTGAATCAGAAAGATGTATCAAATTATGTCGACCTGTGAGTGTGAACTACTGTGCTTTTGTTATGCTGTTTTCCTTGAGTAAGACTTCACATCATTTCCCAGCTTTACAGCTACTGCCAATAGTTACAGTCTGATAAATGCCTTTCACAGCTCTCCAGCCAAAATTCTTTGTTTTCATTCACCAAGCACCATACCATACCCATGTCCTTTTTATATATTCAAACAAGACAAAGTGGAGTTGGTCTTTAAGTATGCTAGAAGATATTAGAAATTGGAATAAGCTTAGCAAGGTGCAGATACGTGTGAAAACATATGATGCTATTTAGTAGGAGCAAGTGGAATTTGGAATTACCAGTAAGTAAAGGAACAGCTGCTTGATTTCCACTGGAAAGAATATATGTCTTATTTTGGATCAAGTTCTGAAAACAACTGCAAGATCGTACTGTTACAAATTAAGATGCAAATTACGATGTCAAAACAGGAGTACAATGTGCTCCTGCAGAACTGCTAAGGCATGAGTGAGTGATGTCTCCTCTTTTGATTACGGCCCTTGAAAATGAAGATACAAGTTGCATGCAGGGAACCCGGGAGAAAGCAATGGGCATGTGAAGAAAACAGTGCCTTTGAGGGTAGGTCGAACGATTTCAGGCCATCTTACAGAAGAGATGTTGAAGGGGAAGCAAAATAATTTTCATATCTGTAAAAGCAGTGGGCAAAGAAAAAATAGAATAGTGTTCTCTCTCATATCCACAATCAATAGGAATAGAAATGATTGGTTTAAATTGCGGGAAAAGAGACTTCAGACACAGAAAGGCCGACTAAGTAACCTGTTGAGTCCTTTTCTGATCTGATCCTACGATTACTCGCACGCTAGCTGCTTTACAGTCCTTTATTATTGCCAGTTAGGGAGCACTGCCTGTTAGGAAAGGTGGCTGCATATAAAGAGTAGTGTGGAACGGAATGCCTAAATTGCACAACGCACCAGTTGATGTAGTTAGCATTAGTGATACCACCCTCAGCTCGTCATCATTCCTCAGCAAACTTTCAGAAGGAAATGGGAGAGTGCCTTGAAACCACTTAATTATAAAATAATTATTCCTTGAAACACCAAGGGCTGCTTTAATCAGTGTTACAAATTTTCTTGGTTTTGTTGAGTCTCATCAATCTGATCAGCCCTGTTCCAGCTGTGACATGGTGCGATCAGCTTCTTTAGTTCTTAAATCGGGGGAAAAAAGAAAAAAAGCAAACCTCTAAAATTACACGGGCAATCCTAAAAGTGGCATCTGAAAACCTGCCAAAGATTAAACAGCCCAAAGGTGAATAAAGTCACGTGTTTTTTAAGCTCATAATTTTAAACCTGATTTCTAATTTTGGACCTGGGATTTTGGAACTTCTGGTTTGGCAGTACTGCCTTACTGTGCCCTATATACTGCTGTTCTAAATATTTCCAAATGACTGCTCCCACATTTGTATAATTTGCAGAAAACAAGTTACACCGACTTGCAGATTTTATTTTTCATGGGAAAAAAAAAATGTATTTAAGAGAAAAATGAAATGTGGTTGTCTTTCAAATAAAAGAGCATCTACATGCAAAAAGTGAAAGTATCCAAATACAAAATAACTCACAAAGTTACACGGCTCCCCCCACATAGAGTACTGTTTTTAACACAACAGCACCTCGTCAGAAAAATCTGTTGTCATTTCAAACACTGGTGGTTCTTGTCTGCATTCCAATTACCTCCGTAGATTCAAAAATAGAAACAAGATGAAAAAGTTGCAGTGATGAAAGGGCAGTGTGATCAAGTATTACTTGTTCTTGGAAAAAAACAGTTGTTGCTTAGATTTTTCTGTGCTGGGTGATGTATTGTAAAATACTTCACTTCTGCTCGCCAGTACAATCTGATTCATGCTATTTTCTGAACAGTTTTGCAAATGGCTAATAACCTCCAGAATTTAAGATCTAAGATGTTCTGATCATCAGACCTTAGCTCCTGTATATGGCAGGCCATCAAATTTTAACTTTATTATCTTTATGGACCAAGAAGCTGATGTCTGATTAAACAGTAACTTGTGTTCAATCCTATTTTTACACTATATTGCCTTATGAAATATATGGGAAAAAAATCTTCCTGTTATCAAGATAAGGATATGGGCTGAGCGCTCAGTTCCGTTCCACATACTGAGCTCTTGCTTCACAGAAGTCTAAATATCATCTCCAGCTCCGTCTGGGTGATGCAATGGAGAATAGCCTACAGCATATTGCATAACTGCCAAGCAGGAGACACGGGCGTATGGTCAATCCTGAACACAAGTAAGTGCATCAGAAAGGGGCCTGCATGCTTCCAGAGTACTGTCTGGATGTTCTGGGAAATACGGCTTACAGATTCAGGACGGGGAATCCAGCAGAAGTTTCTTTAAAAGGAAAGTCAGACTTGTGTCCTCAGCATAAAACTCACTCTCTAATTTCTGAACCAGTCTGTTTGGCTCACCTGTAACATGACTGCATATGAAGCAACATAAAAGAAAATCCTCTGGCTCTTCCCATATGAGAAGATGACTGTAGAGATGAGTTGGTGCACAAATTGTGCTGCAAGTCTTAAGAGAAGTGCTGACAAAAAGCAGGCTTGTAATAGCTCTGCTGAGAAGAGAGAATAAGTCTAATGAGGTTCTGGAGGCTGTTCTCTCTAGTTAAGACTGGACTTTCTCTAAGGACATCTGTAAGAGATGAGCAATGATGACAAAATCACATCAATTTTTGGTTGGAAACAAAAGTTTAAAAAGCAGCTTAGACCTGTAGGTGTTGTTACACAAGAAGAAAACAGCAGCCGTGTGCTCAGCTGAAAAAGAAATGCTTCTGCAGGAGGCTAAATTAAGTATTTGGTAGCCTGAGTCCACAGATCTTTTGATTTTTTCCTGATATTGTCCATGATTGCCCATGATTTGCACTATTAACATTAAAATGCACTCCTCCAAGACGTTTCCCTGACATTTACTACAGTGAAACTCCAATTACAATCTTAAAATACATAGGTGATAATAAGGTAAGCAGTAATTCAATGACTATGAGCAGCTTTTTAGTGGGTTATCAGCGCATCTGGGTATCTGCACAACTACACCTGGGACATATTAGTAATTGGACAAAGGGAACCATTACCCCAAACAGGTTTTGTCTGGAGCTGTTGTGCCTGGGCTGATAAAATATGATTAAAAGCTTTTGGTCAAATTCAAGAAATCTCATTTCTGAATCTGTTTGATTACAAATATATTTAAATAAGATATCAAATTAATTTTAATACGAAGCCTGCTAATTATGCGAATCAATATTTTTGCGTTATTTCCTGGTTCATTTGTTCTCTCCATTTCTTTTTATACATACGTTTTTGAGGCAAGAATCCTCTTTTTGCTCTGAAATAAGAGTGTCTGAGTTGTACTGCATTTACCAAAACAGGATTCTCATGCATCACCTGTGCTCCTGAGGATAACCCTCAGAAGGATACCAATAAAAAATGACATCTATTTTTCACCTGAAGCTGAGTTTATCAGCCAACTCTCTTTGTATTGCTCCAGCACTTTTCTCTGCTCCCTAAGATACAATCAACTGAATGAAGTAGTAGGGAATTACAGGAAGAGATATTTTAGTGATGAATCAGTCACTGGTTTGACTACAAGAGAAATCGACACCCTTCCCATCCAAGAAATATGCGTATGGGATGTACAGAGAAGCTCCTGCTGGAGGTATGGAGACTGACAGCTTCCATTTTCCATCGATTTCTTCTGGATTTCTCCAAGGTCAAAACCTCTGTACTAAAAAGGACTGGGACCCATGGAAGAATAATAGTTATCTAAGCACGTTCGTTATTTAGCTTCAGAAATTGAAGCCTTTCTGTCTCCAAACTACACACACACATGCTACGTAAAAGAAGTGGAAACTTCACGTCAGATAAAAAAGCTTTGGAAAACACACTAATTGAAGCAAGGTTCTTTTTGAAAGTATGTAATAACTACAAGGGCATAAATCATCCTGGTAAGAACTGTGACATTTTCTATGAGGGCTGCTACAACAAAATGCTAAAGGCCGGGGACAAAATTAACCAAAGATGACTTGAACGGTGCATTTAATCCTTTCACATAACACAAAAAGTCTGTGGCTAGCAGACTTGTAGCTGCACTTTTAACGTGGCTATCCACGAGGGGAAGAGGGATCTCAGCGTGCTGTTTTGCTGTTTGCTGTAACTGGAACGTTTTGAAGTGTTAGTCTCCAAGTTAGGAGGAATAACATGGAGGAACCACGGCAGATTTTCACGTTTTTCTTCAAAGCCCTTGCCTAGCTCCAAGTTAATATCCTCATCGCTTTTGCTAAATGTAGGCGTGACGACATCTTACATTAGCACAACAGACAAAAATTTGGAGACATTTCAAGAATGGTCACCACGCAGCCACAGGCAGCAGTAGGGCTCCCAACGGCTCCGCTTCTTCCAGAGGGGAAAGCGAGGCGCCTTCCTCTCTCCCACCTGGGAGCCCACGAACGGAAACTCGGGGGGTGCCGAGGGCGACGGGCTGAGGGGCCGGTGGGGGCTGCCGCTGTCAGCCTGCCAAGTTAAGCCGACATAAGGCTAAACGTCGCTTCAGCCCCACCCGCTGCGGCAGTGTCACCCCACTGCCCTCTGCCAGAGGGAGCAGAAACTTCTTGCTTCCTCACAAGGGTCGCCGCGGGGGAAGGCGGGGGGGTGGGGTGACTCGCGACCCCGCACCCTGAAGGAAAGGGGCAG